GTGGTATCGAAAGGATCATAATTAAGATATTTAATGGGACTGTCATTATACTTGATGATGTGAGCCATGTTCCTGATTTGAAAAGAAATTTTATCTCTTTGAGTACTTTTAATTCAAAAGGGTACATGTACACTTGTACAGGTGGAGTCCTGAAAGTTAGTAGAGGTGTCCGCGTTATGTTGAAGGGACAGAAAATGTCTCAGTTATATGCATTGCTTGGTTCCATATAATCTTTTGATATTAATCAGTAGAAGTTAGGGACTCGGGTAGATTTTGAGTTTGGTACAGTACCGTTGGAATTTGGTTCATGGTGCATACTAAAGAATATATCTCAGTCGAGTTTAACAGTTATCAGTAATTCTACTTTGCCACCACCACCAGCGGCCATTATATTCAATGCTAGATACAGACCCAAAAGAGATATTAAGCCTCCACAAAGGTACGATGAAGTTGATTTTGTTGCTTATGCTTTAAGTACAGTCGAAAGTGTTAAGTCTAGTAAAGAACCTTCTCTGAAACATTGTGTATTGATTCTGTTATAGGGTATGTTTCTACCCTATTTTGTAATTATTAAGTTGTTTGTGATTTTTTGTTGCTCGTAAGGATAATTCGAGCAACTTTGATGCCCAAGGTAAATTTCCAATCAGTGCTTGGACTCAATTGATTTTTCAATTATTGAGTTTGCTTTAATTGGGTTTTGTGGAATATATGAAGAATTTTTCTATTGGAGATTGTTTTTTGTTGAAAAGTTAAGTTTTACTCCTTGCAGTGGAATGATTCCAGGTGGAGATATTTTGAAGTTTTGTCTATTCCAGTGAAATTCGTGTTAAGGAAAAGTTTGTTAGAATTAAGGCGTGGCCCGAATTCAATTTGAAAGACTACTTGAGAATTCTATTTGAATTCTAGGTGGAAATTTAACTTGGAATTCAATTTGGAAGTTTGTAGTAGATATGAAGATGTTTTGAAGGAGTCCAGATGGATTAGGAAATGATTACGTGAGACGGTCACTCACTTCACGCTCAGGAAACGCTATCATTCAGAATAGGGACCTTGGCACTCGCTAGCGCCAAGCTAATGCTCGAGCTGCGGTGTTACTGCTCGAGCTCCGTGAAGATGCCATACGAGTGGTGGTGATATTCGTTTTTGGCAATTTTTTTATTCATATTTTATCCCAAATATTCCACTGTTGATTTGACCAATTGTATTGAAATTTCACCTTATATTAAACTCTTCATTGTATTATATTCCTAGTATGTTAAGGAACTTCATATTATATATATGTAGTGTACAACACATATTAAGTCAATCTCTAAATTCTATACAATAATTTGTAATCCTCTATTATTAATATTAATAAATTCTCCTCTTCTGCTCGTGGTATATTTTTATCACGTAAATCTTGTGTTCTTGTTTGATTTTCATATTTTCCATATTATACTTCTTCCTTTATTCACTAATAATAGGTATTGATTCAAGGGAAGTTACCATAAACCAGATGTTTAGTTTTACGTTTTAAAAAATCAGATTTTCACTTTATTTTTTCACTTTTGAGGTTTTTATCATTTTTATCTATCCATATCCTAAATCTATCAAGTTCTCTCCCCTCTCTCACCTCTCTCCACAACGCCGTTCTCATTATCATTTTTATCTATCCAAACCCCAAATCTATCCATTTCTCTCCTCTCACTCACCTCTCTCCACAACCCGTTCTATCCATCCTCCCACCCCCATCGCCTGTCGCCTCTTCCTCCCCTCCTCCTTTCCCTTTCTTCCCTGCCGGCGTCGCGACACTGTTGTGAATGGCAGCAGCGCACGGCGCTTTGTCCCCTCCTCTTTCTCTCGTCTTATCTTCTTTCTCCCGGCACTTACGTCGTCGCCACAATGAACTGTGAGGAATCAGTGGGCAAAAACTCGAGGATGAGCACAAAGCACCACACCAGAACACACACGATATGGAGTGGCTGGTGACAGAACTTGAACGGTGCTTCTGCCAGTGGTAACTCCAGTTTCTCGCCGTCTTCTTCTCGTTCTAATCTTTGTCTTCTGCTGTTATGGGTCGTTGGAATTTTTTTTTTTTTGGTACATGAGGCAGGCTGTGTAGTGGTGGGCGGAAGCTGTTTGTGGGCCAGATTGTGGTTTATTGAAAGGTGTCGGGTAATTAGGGGTTGATGCTGTCGAGGGTCGATGTTTGTATTCAGTGGTCTGTGACGTGGTGAGGTGGTGTCGATGGTGCAGATGTATGAGACCCACTGTTTGTGGTGGGCGGTGGATCTGGTAGCAGTCGTCGCGAAGATGGGGTCTGTTTTTTGGAAAATGTCGCAGATCTGGAGATGTGTGGTTGTGAAGGTGGTGGTATGTTTTGGGTGGTGGTTGTGGATCTGTGGTGGCGGTCGTGCGGTGGTGATGGTGATCCGTGTGGTGGTGATCGTTTTTTGTTATTGTTGTGGCGGGGTCAACGACAACGGTAGTTCTTTTTGATGTCTGTGACTTTAAAATTGATAATTTGTAACTAAAAAAGAATTTGTGACCAATAAATTTGAAAATATGTGACATGTGACATATAATTTTTTTGATCTGTGACCAATAAAATTTTAGATTTGTGACCTCGAAATAATCCGTGACCTACAAATTTTTTTATCTGTGACCGATAAAAAAATTGTGACCTAAAAATTTTAGATTTGTGACCTCGAAATAATCAGTGATCTACAAATTTTTTATTTGTGACCTGACTGGTTGTCAGTCGTCGGAGCATTAGGGGATGTGGAGGTGAGGTTGGTTAATTATATTATATTACAGTTAAATATTTAATTTAATATAATAATTGTAAAATATAATTAATTAATTCATGAAACCTCGGAATATCTAAATTAAGCGTCGGCGAACGGTCATCGGAATAGTCGCCGGAGCAGTTGGGGTGGTGGAAGTGGGGTGGGGTGGGTTAATTATATTATATTACAGTTAAATATTTAATTTAATATAATAATTGTAAAATATAATTAATTAATTCATGAAAACCTGATTTTTGCAATTCTAAACCTTATGGCCTGATTTTTAATTTTGGGATAGATAAAGTCTGAGTTGTGAATTTTTCCCCTGATTCAATACTATACGTAATTCTTTAATAGTGAATTTGACTAAATGGGCCTTAAGTTTGTGCCGTGTGACAAATACATTAATAGTTTTTAATAAGATTCAATTCTTGACGAAATAATTTTTTTATTGTATCATTAAACAAAAATATTGAGTTAAGCTGTTAATTTTTTTTTCTAACCTTAAATAAGATAATTCTGAAATTCATAAAACACAGATGAGACTCACGAAAGATGGTAGTGAAGAATTTTTTTTATAAGCTTGACAAAGTAATGTTGCACTTTCTGTAAAATTTGATACGATCTAATCAAGTTCAAACTTACAAAAAAAAAAAAAAAAAAAATGGAAAACCCAAACGCGGGAATATATTTTGTGATTAAATAAAATTGTAATTTATCTTTGAAGTGGTAAATCTTGTGGTTCTATCTTTAAATGTCAACCATATTAAGAGCATTTGTCCAAACTCTTATAAATTGGTTACATGCCCCGTAAGATGGTGGCTCGTTTGACTAGAAAAATTTTGAAATTCGTGTGATCATTTTTTTGAATTTTAATCGGATCGATTTTAATCGGATCGAATTGCTCGTTTGAACTTAATGATATCTGATACCATATTAAGAGTTGTGGCTCCATATTAAAAGTTTAACCTTATTAAGAGCAATAGTCTAAAATTTTATAAGTCGATCTATATTTCCATTGGATTTTATCCTTTAACACGAAAAACCTTTGCATGTAATCCAACGGTCATGAAAAGAAGGGGCCCACATATTAAAGAAAAGGAAAAAACCATTTGTACACTTTTGTGTACATTAATTTTGACACTCCTCTCACAAAAGTGTGTGGGGCTCATGATTTTTTAAATTGCAAGTCCCCCACCTTTGTGAAAGAAATGTCAAAAAGTGTGTACATCAAGCATGACTCTAAAGAAAATTTCAATGTAAGAAAATTGGTCCGTGCCACCCTGAAAGGTAGTGTATGACATAATCCACTGACATTGTTGAATAATGCCATTTTGATTTTTTAGAGTGAATGAATTTGACACACTAGATGACATATGACAAAATGCCACTAGATTTTACCATTGTTTAAGGCTATATTATGGAGGCCCGCTCGATCAAAGTCAGCCCTTGACAATCATTCTTCAATAATTATTTTTTTTCTAATATTCATTTTCAATAACATATTTTCTGAATAAAATATTCTTCACGTAAATTTAAAAAAATTTCAACTTTTCAATCACAATTTCTTTAAAAATTTACTATTAAAAAACACATTCTTCCAAAAAATATGACCGAAAAGGGGCTCAATCTCACGCACTCTCTTTTATCCCACGGAGGAGAAGAGTAAGAAACTAAAGCCTCTGTTTGGTACCGATTAAAATTCAAATATTCAATGACACATTTCATCAACGTTTATTAAAATTTACTAAAAATTTGATTTTAATTCATACCAAACATGAGTTAATTTTAACAAAACATTCAGAAATATTATTACTTATTATCCATATATTTCGTGATACTTGTTATTCTTTTCATTATAATAATTTGATTACTATAAATCTGTAACAAACAAATATTAATAGTATTTATTATAATGCCTAAATTAAATCCAAAAGAAACAAATATTATGAAGCTAATTACGCTAGTGAATAAATTAATGGGAAGCTGAAGGCCAACTACTTATTTTTGTATAAAAGTGGGGCCCAAACAGACCCCATTTTGGGCGGTAACTGAGGTTGGCCTTCCCTGTGCAATCACCGGTCCAGAGTAGAGATAGAGAGGTGGGAGTGGGGACCACCATCATAGTGGTGTCTTGTGGTATAAAAAGAGGTGTTGGGTAGTATACAGCAGCAATTTGAAGTCTCTGTTAATTTCTCTTCTTCCTTGTCTGTTTACATTTAAGGAGCAAAAATGGGTGGAATTACTCTTGAAGAGATAAAAAATGAGACCGTTGATCTGGTACTATTTTCGTTTGTTTCTAAGTTTAATGGTTTGATTTTATGTTCCTCGTTTTGTTTAAGGTTGATTTTCTGCTCTGCTATGCTCTTCTATCTATCATATTCACTCTTGATTAATTACAGATCAAATTATTATTTTCAGTTTATTAGGGTAATTCATTTTTATATAGGTGAGATTTGAATTGATTATTAATTTATTAGAGGATTTTGTAATTAATGTGTATATGAAAATTGTAAGAATCTGAGCCCCTGTTTGAGCCACATTAAAATTTTAATTCTCATTCTTCTACTTATTTTCAATTAAGACATGCTATTTGTACAACCAATGGTTAACACACTCGTTGACATACACTCACAAGGGGTGATCCACTTTTTTTTTTTTAAATTTTTTAAACACGCGGACCACGCACACATGTGAGATGTTCTCAACCTCGATTGTCAACCTTTTATGTACAAATAAATTTATTCTTTTCAACCACATATTCTTCAATAAAATAATATTTTCCATCAGATCAATAATTTTTCCTTCTTTTTTCAACCACACATTTCCATCAATCTACTATTCTAAAATATATTCTTCCAAAATAATTTGATTCAAACACACCCTGAACATGTTCTTGTCCCAAAAAGTATTCACATGCTCCGGTTTGAAAACATGGTTTCCCTTATATATAATTGGATAGATTTTGTTAATATAATTTCAGAATCACTAACGTTCAGACGGTATTAAAATTCATGACTTTCAATTACCACTTACACTACTTATTATTCTTACCAATTGTGCTTTAGAATAATTTAAATCAGTCTAATAATTCTATGCTTAGGTGCTACAAAGCATCGTTCATTTTAATAATACAAATCAAGTAATTATGAAGTATTATGTCACGAATAAACTAATTATAGTCCTTTTTCATTTTATTATGCTTGAGTAATTATGATGGATATATATCTTTGGAAAATTATACCAGTCATTTTTTTTAAATTAACACACATTTGCCACTTTTGACTAAAAATTATAGTGCCTTTTGAATTCTCTGCCTAATTAGCCATTGGTACCGGTTAAAATTTAGATTTTAATTTAAATCAAAGTTTACAATTAATTTTAACCACATATTTAATAGGTTTCACATTTTTTCGACCATGTATTTCATTAACTTTAATCAAAATCTATAAAAAATTTGATTTTAATTCCTACCAAACTGGAGCTTAATATGACAGATTTAAAGAATTAAGAGCTCGTTTGGTAAAGTTTAAAATCCAATTAAAATTGAAAATATAGTCGTTATTGGGTCTCACTCGTCTAATAAAAGTCAGCAATAACGGCTAGTTTTTCAATTTTAATCCGATTTTAATCTCAACTAAACACGCTCTAAATTTAGACATGACAATTATAATTATTTTTTATTTTTTAAATTCACTTATTAATTTAATATATTTTGATGGATATTATTGAAGAAAAAAATATATTTTAAATAGTGATATGACGTTAAATATGTGGTTAATAAGTAAGAAAAAATTATTGATGTGATAAAAAATATTATTTTATTGAAAATGTGTTGTTAAAAATGAGTTTTGATGGAATGTATTTTGAAAGAATATTTAATGAACGAGGCATAACAAAAAGCAGTATTGACTGATTTTTCATAAATCTTTTTTCCGCGGTGCTTCTTCACCTTTGATATTTGTGTGTTGGGATTCGAACATCTATTCATGACTACTAATAGACAGTTGACCTTTTTTGGTCCCTTTTGGGCTAACCTAACCCCAAAGAGTAATGCTATTCATCCTCATTGGGGATGAAAATATAGTTTACGTTTCGTCAATGTGATATTAAATGATAGGTAAAATTAAATAAGTCATTTAATTTCACATTTCATTTAATCTATCATTTAAAATCATATAGACAGTGTTTTCATCCACACTTGGGATGAATAACATTACTCAACCCCAAATCCAACCTTCATCAAATTAATTAATATTTATTATTTAATGATTTCTCCAAAAAGCGTGCTTAATTTGATTGGTGGAGAAACCAATACCATTCTTTGTGGAATAATGCTATTTGCAGTCACTCACTACAACAGTTGCCCTACGTGGCATACACACATCAAGTGTGTATTTGATGCATTAATGTGGTATCATTACTCTTCTTTGGGGGTGGGAAACTCATTTTATGGGCACCAACATACAGAAATTTATTAGCTAAATTAATTATAAAAATTAAGTAGATTAATTTAAATACATATTTATTTTTACATGTCAAATTTGATATGTTTTGCCTTCTGGTATTTTCAATTTATAACATCCTTCTTTTGTTGACTTTTGAGAAGTAGGCGGGTGCTTTGGTTTTCTTAAGAACAACCTCACAGTCATAATAGGGGGAGTTTTTTTTTTTTAATTCATATGGTCCCACGTGAGCCCACCACAATGTAAGAGGATTTCAACAGAAGTAACGAATTTTTTAGGGCAAAATGGTTTAATTCTTGCATTTGGCTATTTGGTTCTACAACTTGGTGTAGAACCCACTCACGATAAGGGGGCTCGCGCCAAAAAAAAGAAAAAAGAAGCACGATCCTTCTATTGTGAGGGGGCTGCACAACCTTATACATGTAACATCTCTCTTAATTATTTTCTTAACGCATAGTCTAATGCTCTGTTTAATACCAATCTATTTCAAAGGGAAAAGAATTTTTTTTTTCCATTTAACCACTTTTCACCTGTTTGATTGTTAGAATTTTATTTGGAATTCATTTTGCCCGCCGCGAGTTCACGCGCTGATTTTCCACCAAATGAATGAAATTGTTTTCCCATTGGTTGTGTGGATTTTTATTTTCCAGCTTTGCTGGTTTTTTTTTAAATTTTTTAATTTTTTGATTTTTTTTTTTTAGAAATTGAAACAAATTTTAGATTCAATGGTAGAAACAATTATAACTTTAATGAACAATTTTCATAAAAAACGAAGTCAAATGAACATCAAACTTTCAATATTTTTCAGGTGGAAAATTATACCAATCAAACACAATTAATTACAATTCCCAGTAAAACAATTTCTAGACAATTCAATTCCCTGTAAAATCTTTTCTTTCCACCCATTTTCCACATTTGCAATCAGATCCTAAGGTATTTCAGTTGTTCCTAACAGGAAAAAGTTCCGATAGAAGAGGTGTTTGAGCAGTTGAAATGCTCCCGGGAAGGGTTAAGTTCCGATGAAGGAGATAACAGGATTCAAATTTTTGGCCCCAACAAATTGGAAGAAAAGAAGGTTATTCTCTTCTCTTTATAACAGAAGAAAGTTAAGTACATTTAAATTTCTAATGATTTTTTGTCCTTGAAACACAGGAAAGCAAAATACTTAAGTTTCTCGGTTTTATGTGGAATCCACTATCATGGGTCATGGAAGCTGCAGCTATAATGGCAATTGCACTGGCTAATGGAAGCGGACAGCCCCCGGATTGGCAAGATTTCGTTGGTATTATTTGCTTGCTCGTTATCAACTCGACTATCAGTTTCATTGAAGAGAACAATGCGGGAAATGCTGCTGCAGCTCTTATGGCTGGTCTTGCTCCTAAAACAAAGGTATCAAATTTTCAAATGTACCCCCTAAATACATCTATACATTAACTTCTCATGTTTGATGACAATAGGTCCTCAGAGATGGTCGATGGAGTGAGCAGGAAGCCGCCATTTTGGTTCCTGGAGATATTATTAGCATTAAATTGGGAGATGTCATTCCTGCTGATGCTCGTCTTCTTGAAGGCGATCCATTAAAGGTTGATCAATCCGCACTCACAGGAGAGTCACTTCCTGTCACCAAGAATCCTTACGACGAAATTTTCTCTGGTTCAACATGCAAACAAGGTGAGATTGAAGCTGTGGTTATTGCTACGGGTGTTCATACCTTTTTCGGGAAGGCAGCACATCTTGTGGATAGCACCAACCAAGTTGGGCACTTCCAGAAAGTGCTCACTGCTATTGGTAACTTCTGCATTTGCTCCATTGCGGTTGGAATGCTAGCCGAGATTATAGTCATGTACCCGATTCAACACAGGAAGTACAGGCAGGGGATTGACAATCTCCTTGTTCTGTTAATCGGAGGCATTCCTATTGCCATGCCTACTGTCTTGTCCGTCACAATGGCCATTGGATCTCACAGGCTATCACAGCAAGGTGCCATCACAAAGAGAATGACTGCCATAGAGGAATTGGCTGGCATGGATGTCCTATGCAGTGACAAGACTGGGACTTTGACTCTCAATAAGTTGACCGTCGATAAAACCTTGATTGAGGTCTTTGCTAAGGGCGTAGACCCTGATCAAGTTCTGCTTCTTGCTGCAAGGGCTTCTAGGACTGAAAATCAAGATGCAATTGATGCTGCCATTGTCGGTACCCTTGCTGATCCAAAGGAGGTATGCGTGATTTTTCTTTCTTTTCTAGTTTTATAGATATCAAATATTAAAAACTAAATAAAGAAAGTACATGTCCTCAATTCTTAGGCACGGGCTGGTATCAGGGAGGTCCATTTTTTCCCCTTCAACCCCGTGGACAAGAGGACTGCTTTGACTTACATTGATTCAAAAGATAACTGGCATCGAGCTAGCAAGGGAGCCCCGGAACAGGTATTCCTAATTCTCAAATTCTTCGCTTCCCGATTTGTGAATATATAAGATATTATTAGGCAAATGTACTGATTTTTTTCCCCATTTTCCTGTGATCAGATTTTAACTCTCTGCAATTGCAAGGAAGACCTCAAGAAAAAGGTTCATGGCGTTATTGATAAATTTGCGGAGCGCGGTCTTCGGTCATTGGCAGTTGCAAGACAGGTTTGCAATGAGAAAATTGCTGCAATATTGATATTTCCCAATTGAAAAATTGTACAGTTACTGAGGCAAATGTTCTATATTTCCAGGAAGTGCCAGAGAAATCAAAAGAAAGCCCTGGTGGTCCATGGCAGTTTGTTGGGTTGTTATCCCTATTTGATCCTCCCAGACATGACAGTGCCGAGACCATCCGCCGTGCCCTCCATCTTGGTGTTAATGTGAAAATGATTACAGGTAATTCAATGTTTATAATTCTGAATTCCATTCTTGTAGCTATTTATTATATTCTTTTAGTAGGTTCCTTATTCGTATTAACGTGTCAATTCACAGGCGATCAACTTGCCATTGCTAAAGAGACTGGGCGCAGGCTTGGTATGGGAACAAATATGTACCCCTCCGCTTCATTGCTTGGGCAACATAAAGACGAATCCATTGCTGGCCTTCCTGTTGAAGAGTTGATTGAGAGGGCAGATGGTTTTGCTGGGGTCTTTCCAGGTGGGCTTTTTTTGTCCGCGAACCCTTCACGTTGCATTGCATAATGAAAATTTCTAAATCTTCCAACTGTGGAAAGGGAAATTCATACTCTCTCTCATTGGCATGCAGAACACAAATATGAAATAGTGAAGAAGTTGCAGGAGAGCAAGCACATTGTTGGAATGACGGGAGATGGTGTCAATGATGCACCAGCTTTAAAGAAGGCAGATATTGGAATTGCAGTTGCCGATGCTACAGATGCTGCAAGGGGTGCTTCCGACATTGTACTCACTGAACCTGGGTTGAGCGTTATCATCAGTGCAGTATTGACCAGTCGAACTATTTTCCAAAGAATGAAGAACTATACAGTGAGTCGTTTTCTTTTCTACTCTTTTTACAGTCCCCACACTTTTTTATGGCTGAAGCAGGTGTTTATTATTTGTATTTTTGTTTTGCCAGATATATGCAGTCTCCATCACAATCCGTATTGTTGTAAGTTCATTATGACATTTGAACACAGAAAACCGCTATAATTTGTGGGATCGATGGACTTCTTAGTTCTTATGCCCTCTGCTTCTTGTTTTGCAGTTCGGTTTCATGCTAATTGCTTTGATTTGGAAGTTCGATTTCTCTCCATTCATGGTTTTGATCATTGCCATCCTCAATGATGGTAAAGTTTCTCTTTTCTCATTTGAATAGCTTTTATATTTTGGGTGACATGTGGCAACTGATAGATCAATAATTAATTTCTATTTAGGAACAATTATGACAATCTCAAAGGATAGAGTAAAGCCATCTCCATTGCCTGATAGTTGGAAATTAAAAGAGATATTTGCAACCGGCATAGTACTTGGAGGTTACCTTGCACTGATGACTGTTATATTCTTCTGGATTATGAAGGAAACTAACTTCTTCTCGGTGAGGAGTAGTAATGTTTCTTTGTATGTTTGCTTTTTACATTATAAATAGTTTCCAAGTGAAGTAAAAAAAAGTAAATTGCCTGCAGGATAAGTTTGGTGTAAGATCTATTAGAAATAGCGAACACGAAATGATGGCTGCTCTTTACCTACAAGTGAGTATTATCAGCCAGGCTCTGATTTTCGTGACTAGATCACGAAGCTGGTCGTTCATGGAACGCCCTGGACTACTGTTATTGACTGCTTTTGTCATCGCTCAGCTGGTAATTTTTTCATGGCTTTGTCGTGCCCTTTTGAAACTTAAAAACATTCTCTATTTTTCTGTTATGAACTCTTCACCCTTATGGCCTTTATCGGAGTAAATTTCTTTATCTATTTGTAAAGAGAATATAGATTGAATGTAGATAGAATGTCAAGTTATAAGATGCTGAAACGGGTTTTATGTTGTAGATTGCAACTATAGTTGCCGTTTACGCCAACTGGGGGTTCGCCAGAATCAAAGGATGTGGTTGGGGATGGGCTGGTGTAATCTGGCTTTACAGTATTGTATTCTATTTGCCGCTAGACGTAATTAAGTTTTCCATTCGTTATATCTTAAGTGGCAAGGCCTGGCAGAATTTGTACGAGAACAAGGTACAACTCTAACAAAAAGTCTAGATCCTGTCCATCATCATTTTCATTCACTAAATTACCATGTGCTTTTCCTTGGAATAGACTGCCTTCACCACCAAGAAGGACTATGGCAAAGAGGAGAGAGAAGCACAGTGGGCTCTTGCGCAAAGGACCCTACATGGCCTTCAAGCCCCAGAGACAACTAATCTTTTCAACGAGAAGAATAGCTATAGAGAACTTTCTGAAATCGCAGAGCAGGCCAAGAGGAGAGCTGAAATTGCAAGGTATAAATTGACTTGTTCAATTAGCCCCTTTTTCAAGTAGTAGTTTTGCCGTGATCATTGTGAATTATAATATTGTCTTTTTCCTTTTTATCATTTTAGGCTTCGGGAGCTGCACACACTCAAGGGTCATGTCGAGTCAGTAGTGAAGCTTAAAGGCCTCGACATCGACACGATCCAACAACACTACACCGTGTGAAGAAGTCAAATATATTTCACATGAGAGGAACAAGAGCAAGACTCAGAAGTATGAAATAGAGAACAGAAAGAGTCAGATAAAACTGTCTAGACGAAGGGATGCAATAATGAGCCATAATTCCTGATTTATCTTTTCTTGTTTTCTGATGTCTTCATAAGTGCCCACAGGAAATGTTGTCTGGTCCTTGATTATGAGTGCACAATGGTATCTCATGTAAAACAGTTAGTTTTTCCCTGGTTTGTGATTCGCCTAAATCCTTGAATCATCTTCCTGTTATACTATTGATGTGATATTTGGTTATGAGTATCTTTTCTTATAAATTAACCGATACAAATCAAGATTTAATCCCCCCATGATTATAATGCATTGAAGATCTAGGTGAAACTGCAATGTTGGTTCCAACCTCTGAAGTGGGTTATCCACAGATAGGATGACATTATTGAATAAAGGGTTGTGCACATCTTGTTGAAACGCACTGAACTATGCACCAATTTCAAGTATATATTACACCTAGTATCCTTGTATTTAATCTTTGTTTTACAAAATAATACATAATTTCCTTTGATTTTAATTTTAGTCTAGATGAGTTTTTCCACACTAGTATTCCTCATCATCATCATCGTATCTTGATCCAAGGAATCGCCTAACAACAGCAGAAACTGCACCGAGGAATAGAAATAAAGCAAAGAGTTCGAATCCACCTCCAATGCCAACAGGAACACTGGGACCGGGTGCAAAGAATGAAAATGGAGACCAACCCCATCCACCATAAAATGGCACGCCAAAGCCATATCCATATCCACCAACTAGAGGAGGGGCAACTGGTGGGTTGATATACACATTGGTTCTGCAAGAAAAAGCAATGTTAAACTTGTCAATAAAATTAAGGATTTCTTGAGCCATTGGTAATCAAGCATTACCAAAGACTAACGTTAAGAAGTTGCATAAATAAGGAAAAAAGCATGAGTTTACACCAAAAAAATTCGCTTTTCAAATCTCCACTTTCGTAATTAGGTCTATAACAAGAGATTTTGTCCCAGAAAAAGGTAAAGTGAACGAGGTCGTTGTTCCAAAGATGAGTTCTTAGTCTTTTTTTGGTTCTTCTTTGGCCTAAATCATTAAATCCTCCTGCTCAACTTGATGCAATATGAAATTGCATAACCGTGATAGATAACCACTTTCAAATCGCATTAGCATAGACACTGACCTTCTAGTTGCCTATTTCATTTGTATATTCGAACAAGATGACCACTTGTATATCTAAGAAACGATCTTTATACTTAGTAGTCTTCAAAGGTTAAAATTGGCTGATGTCTTCATGATTCAAAAATACACAAAATTATCCTCCATCATTAAAATTTTCCAATCATATAACACACAAGACATCATTTCCATTGAAAATTGCAAGATAAATGATTTTTGTTCGCCTCAAGTTATTTTTCCTGGCTAAAACAGCACAATATTTGAACCTGGCAATCTTATGAAGTCCCACATTTTGAACATATTGACATTTCAATAAGATAAATGAAAAGGAAGGAGAAATAGCAAGTGATAACATACTAAAGACTATCTAATTCTTTTTTCACAAACTAGGGATGAATAACATTACTCTTGAACGTTGCATTTCCTTTTCAATTTGCAAACAACTTACGATGCTGCTTTTCATATCTTTCATATAGCTAGTTCATTTTTATTTCGAAATTTCAAATCACTTCAAATTCAATAAAAAAAAATGTTTTCAATAATATAAGCTTGTTGATGAAGAATGTTAATGGTTGGGATAGGGCAGGACAAGGCACCTAAGCTTGTCAATAAGTATGTATGTAGTTTGCGACATATTTTTTTTCTTGGGCCTAGGATATTTGTAAAATAACTGTAGTGCATTTAAAAATATATTTTTATGGGAACAATACACAGTTACTACACTATAAGAATCACATTTCACAACTAACAATTTTACAAAATAATTTCATAAATCATGTGGTAATTCAAATTAATAAATATATAATAATATATAGTATACATATGCAACTGTACTGTTCCATATTTTCTCTCCTAACCACCCCACCCCAACCCAACCCAACCCAACCCAACCCAACTCTCGATTACAAGAATATTTTCTACCACTAGACACACCCTCTCTCAAAACATACACTTCTATCCAAATCTCTCTCTCTCTCTCTCTCTCTCTCGTCCCCTCTTTCAAAATCAACCCTAGGATTGTTGCCATTTTCAATGTCGGCAGACTCTTAGTCTCAACCTCATCTTGTGCTCTACACGCGTTAATACCCATTAGTTCAAAATTAACTTTCTGGATCACTTTATTGACTGATCTTTAAGATAGCACCGCACATATTAATAAATGAGTGATGCTACAAGTACATCAGAGGCTACATAAGGGTGTCCATAATGGACACCCGGCGCCTCCTCATTGGAGGAATGGTTGGTGGGGTCGACACTCCATCCAATGGGAGGGCGCCGGGTGTCCATTATGGACATCCTTTTGTAGCACTTGATGTATAAGAAGAATAACTCTTAATAAATCTACATGTGTGGCCCCATATGATGAAATTTTTCCAACAGGCATGTTCAAGTCTAAGATGATATAGCTATATACTACTAGTATGGTATGACTTTTTTCTATGGTTAGTAAAAGTAACATTTATTTCATCTGTGGAATAATTTAAAATATAATTACCGTTCATCAAATATCCAGCCCAACTAAAAATTTATCTTCAAAATATAAATTGTATCATACAGAATAACCTAGTCCTATTAGATAGGGAAAAAAAGAAAATCGCTTCATCCATGAAATATAATTATGAGAGTTTCTAAGAATTAAACGCTTGATAATATTGTAATAAAAGTAAACTGATCCTACAGCTCTTGCCATCCCATGTGCCCCAACTTTACAAATTTTCGTTTTTTTACTTTATAAAACGAAATAGCGATGAAATAGTAAACCTTTAACTTGGACCTATGAAGCTGCCCTTAGCTTCAGGGGCGGACCGAGACCATTTTCTTGTGGGGGTCCAAATGAAAATTCAAAAATGTTTAGGTATAATAAAATAAAATAAAAACTCGAAGAAAGCTGAAAAAAAATAAATTTGTGGGGTCATTTGACCCCACATGACCCCATGTGGGTCCGCCAGTGCTTAGCTCAGAGGCAAAAGTTCCAATCTTCATCTTTTGAGATTTCAGAGATTCAAGTTCAAGTTATATCATTCTAATTCCTTTTTCTTCTCCTCTAGCAAATTTATTTCCAACCTCTAAAATTAAACTTTACTCACCAAATTCATTCCCAATCTTTAAAATTAGACTTTTCATTCACTAGTCTTTACTTTCATTTGCACATTTCTGACATAACTCTAGCAACTTCAACGTTAATTTCCTCAAGTGATATGCACAAGCTAAATTTGGTGTAGTTTACAAAGCACTATACGTAACTCCTCATATAATCGTTCACATAAACATTTTTACTTAACTTTCAATCAAAACGAAAGGAAAACCTTTCGGTTTTTACAGAAAAATCTCATTAAAATTTGGTTAAACATACGGCCATTTAAGAAAAAAGTTGTGCAAAATGTTAGAAGAAGACAACTTTGGTAATGTGAGTGAGTTTTTCAATTTTTATATTTAACATGGACATAATAGTTTAATTTCTTCACTTACTAACTGCGATCAAATTTTCGTTGTTGTGTATTCTTTATTTCCGGTTGGGGAATGTAGTGTATATGTTGTTTTGTATGTGCACAAAGGTTTGGCACAAGTTTAATAACACGAAAATGATGTTCAGCCACAAAATGAAATTGTAGAAATCAAAGAAGGAAATAAGAAAAGAATGTTATGAAAACGTCCGAGATAAGTGTTTAAAACTTTGTCTTTAACATGAATTTAGCCCGCAACAGTGCTGAGTGGTTAATGGCAATTGTCTTCCAAGATACAACGAAGAATATTTTTGTAGTAGAAGCACTTCAAGCAACAAGGCCAAGCGAACCGAATATGATTTTTCTCTCTACAAAGATGGTTTTGGTATGCAATTTTTTGGAGTGATTTTGCTATAATTTTGATGTAAGAATCAAGAGATATGAATTGGGACGCATAAATGATGTCCAAGGGATTCAAGTTATAAAAGAGGATGGGATGTGAATGGAGGGACACGCCATAAAACTCAGCAACCTTCATAAAGGGACGCATCCCTTGCTGTTGCTCAAACAACAACCTTAGCCATTTTTTAGTCAGTTTTCTCTTCATTTTCTTTCAACTTTGGACCATGATTTTTCATTTATTAGGAATTGGTTTTGAGATTTCAAATATACTACGATGATCTACTCAATGATTAGAACAATTCAATCTATTTATTTTCATAATTTGACTATCAGATCAAATTCGAATATTTGGTCGAAATTGACGTGAAAGTTACTTTTCACAATTTTCATGGTTTTATACTTCAACATTTTTTTTAAAACCAAAATCTAACAATCCCCCACATGAATGGAAATTCCAAAATATACAAATGATATGCAGACACTAGTAGATCGAAAGCCGAAAAAACATTACATCAGGAGAGGTAACTTCCAGCCTTGGACCTTTTTTAGTGAAATACTATCGAATTTATTTGGCTAATTGGTGAACGCAATAGCTTAAATCATTCAGCCGTTGGTGTAAACCAAGACAACAGTACTTATACAAATGTCTTCCCTATATTGTTTTGATTCTCATGATTGTATTCATATTGACTCTAAACCACTTTTGGGTTACGTAAGTGTTTTAGAGAATTTTAGATTCGAACAATTCTCATAGAAGTGGTCTCACTTCACATTTACATAGGTGAACTCTAATTAAGATTATTCTGCTCTACTCCAATTAAATTAATTAAGATATATAAATCATTAAAAGTATGTCTTAATCTTTTAACATTCTTTATAAAGCACTTTAATTATCACATGAATAAGTAGCACTAATTTCTAAATTGCTTCATTGAATTTTCGTAATTTAGTCGTTCCCTTGAACTAAGATCTTGAGATTTTCAGTCAACAAGGTAGAATTACCATTACAAAGACTCTTATGTAGTAGGCTTTAATTTCATTCCTTTCGATAAGTGATATACTTGATCTTGTAGTAAGCCTTTCATAAGTGGATTCACGATGTTCTCATGTGATTTCCCATAATATATAAAGATAATCCTATTTGGGATCAATTGCTTAATGATATTGTGTCTACTATGTATGTGTCTAGACTTACTAGTATACATGTTGTTTTGTGCCCTTTCAGTAGTTGATTGAGTATCACAATGTAAACCTATTGCATGTACTAGTTTATGCCAACATGGAATGTCTACCAAAAGGTTATGAAGTCATTCAGCTTCTTCACCCGCTTTATCCAAGCAACAAACTCCAATTTCATCGTTGACCGAGTTATAAAAGTTTGCTTTATAGACTTCCATGACACAGTAGCCCCACAAATGGTAAAGTCATAACCATTAGTAGTCTTGAAATCCTTCAAGTTGAATATCCAATTTGAATCACGATATCCTTCCAATAATGTAGGTTATTTTGTGAAATGTAATCCAAAGGTTAATGTATGTTTTAGATACCTACGAACCCTAGTCAAAGCCTTCGAATAATCATGGCTTGGATCACTCGTGATCCTATTAAGTTTATTCATAGCAAATGTTATATATGATCGAGTGCAGTTTCATAATATACATTAGATTGCCTATAATCCGTGAATATGTCGGTTGAAACGCCAGTTCAACTTTATTCTTAACTAAGTGTAAACTTAAATCAATAGTGATTTTCACTGGACTTTCCTCGAATACATTAAACTTCTTAAGTACACTCTCAACGTAACGAGACTGGGAAAGTACAATTCCTTCAAATGTTCTAGATATCTTAATTCCT